CCTCCACCATATTCCTTGTCTAAAGGATCAGCTCCATAACAAAGGAGCATCCTAAAGACAATATCTTTGTATCTACCGTCAGAAGAATCAGCTCTGCAGCAATGGAGTATTCTGAAGACAGGATCTATATACACTATCCAAAGGATCAACTTTACAACAAAAGAGTATCCTGAAGACACAATCTACCTTTATCGTCTGAAGGGTCAGCTTCCACAGCCTGGGAACATCCTGAAGACAAAAGTCTATATACATTCATCATTCGAAGGATCGGCTACCTCACCGAAGGAGCATCCTGCAAATCAAAAGATCGGCTATCTCATCCAAGAGGCATCCTGAGAACAATCGAAGGATCGGCTACCTCAGCAAAGAAGCATCTTACAAATCGAAGGATCAGCTACCTCAACGAAGGAGCATCCTGCAAATCGAATGATCGACTACCTCACCGAAGGAGCATCATGCAAATCGAAGGATCGACTACCTCACCGAAGGAGCATCCTGCAAATCAAAAGGATCGGCTACCTCACCGAAGGAGCATTCTGCAAGTTGAAGGATTGACTACCTCACTGAAGGAGCATCCTAAGGTTTCCCACTCGTCAGCTATGGGGTCAGTTACCGCATCAAAGGAGCATCCCAAGGCTACAACAACCAGATAAAGCTCACACTCACCATCCAGAGGATCAGCTACCGCACCAAAGGGACATCCAAACAACAACCAGACAAGAAGGTTAACTCCTTCACTCGCCAATCGACCTTATGGTACATTAGCCCATAGTCAATTGGTCAGGTGAAGAGGAGGGGTAGCTGTAGACCCCAAATCTTGCCCAGCTCCACAAAAAGGCCAGAAATCCTTCGTTCTGAAGAAGAATAAAGCTTCATAGGACCTTTAGTAGTGTTTACTAGGTCTAAGGAGGGATTTCTGGGGAAATAAAAAATCATTTTTGTTAGCGAAGCAGTAGATGGTTGTCCAGCATAGCCAGACGAGCATCCACTCTAATTTTTCAGCTATGGACGGCCATCCACCTTAACCAGATGACCATCCATCCTAAAAATGAGGCATTGACAGTCGTCCATGCTAGACAGACGACGTCCACACTTAATTTTGGCCATGGACAGTCGTCCATGTTTCCTTGGCTCGCTTCCCTATAAATAAGAGCCTCATTTCTCGTTTTTCACACACCTTTCCACTCCTACACTCTTTAGGAAGTCTTTTGACACTTGAGAGTGACTCTGAGCATTATTCCAGAGTCCGAGTGAGCTTTCCAATTTCCGTTTGAGGTAGAAATCGATTAAGGAAGTCTTTTTTTGAGACATCCAACACTCAATAGTGTGGTATTTTATTTTTTGTTTGAGGGAGGAGTGTCTCTGTAGAGTGTGGGGACTGCCAAAAAGCGTCATCAAGTTTAAGATTTATAAAAGTTCGCTTTGGAGGTTCTTCTTCATATCTCTTCTCTTTTATTGTTTTCCTTGTATGTATTAGAAATTAGGGCCATGTAGATATTTAAAATTTCGCAAAGTAGATAAAAATAGGGTAGAAGCATAATTTTTCTTAGTCTTTATTATATGAATTAGTCCATCATAAGAAACCGAAAGGGGCATTGTGGGGTGCTAACACCTTCCCCACACGTAACTAACTCTCTTACTCAACTCTGATTGTAACGACCAAAGTTAGTTTTTCTAAGCCAACACTTTTTTTCTTCCTTTTCCAATGTTTATGGTAAAAACATTGGTGCCGACTCCATAGAACCCTTTACGAAAACTTTGCTTTTAGGTTTAGTCTGGTTATCGGACAACCTAAAAAGCGTTAACTACATAATTTTACAAAAACACAGGAGTTTAATCATCCATCGCAATCGTTCGCAAATATCGAAATCCCCACACCAACGACAAGGATTATATAGAATAATTTCTTTTGTCATTATTAATAGTTAATCATCATAGTCTATACATATGAAATATTGTCTACATTAAAATTAATTTAATCTTAAAAAAGACACATTCATAATTCAAGAGAGTATAAAATTTTGACTTTTAAGCCCTATAAACCTACGAGGACATCTAAATAACTTTGTCAATCATTTATTTAACCTACAAAAACATATTGTATTAGACAAAATTATTATGAAATTTTGATGTATATCATTTTACTATTTATTTTTTAATTTAAGAATATTTTTTAAGTTAACTATTTTCTTCACAAATCATGCATTTAACATGTTTTCATTAAAAATATAACATAATTCAATTCTTCATAATTTGTTGCCTTTTGCATAGTTTCAGCATAAAAAAAATACATGCATACATCTATAATGTATATTTTTTTTGTAGAAGAAAGATAATTTGAGATAGGTTAAATTGATCGAAATAAAAGTACAAATTGATGCAGATCGAGTTTCACTTTTCTCGAAGTTCAAGTTTGTTTGTGTAGCCCACTTACGCAATGTTACAAATAGAAAATTAGAATTAAGCAAATTAACTATTACGAGAACCCAATTTAACTGAATTAAAGGTCAGTGAGATTCAAGAATTAAATGTAAATTAGCACTCGTAAAATAGGAAAGAAGCGATTATTTCTTCCAAATTAGTCCTAGATATCCAATTTTGTATTTTTTTATCTGAGAAACATTTAATTTTATTGTGATTAGAGTTAACTTTTGTTGTTCAATCCCCTAGAAATAGAGGTACGATAAGAGCACAAATACACAATTTTCTTCTTCGAGGTAAGAATTGTTGCTTTGTCTCATTCTTTTTTTTTTTCACTCTATTTCCAATTTCCTTTAGTTTAATTTTTAATTTGGAGAGTTTAACTGATCACTGCAACTCTTTTTGATTTATTATCTTTTGTTATTTAATTGCAATTTCTCATGAATTTTTTAGTTATATATTATAGATTTTGTTTTATTCATTTTATGCTTAGTTTAAATTCTATTATTTAATTATTTTTATTCCAGCTTTTTATTTACTTTATTTTCGATTTCAATTTATTAATTGTTTGAATCCAATTTTATTTTATTGTTTTTATTTCAATTTGCACTTATATCTAGGTTTACCACTTTTGGCAATTTTAAATTCAATTAATGTGCTACTTCATTTTAATTAAAAAAAATTTTTAATGCTGCACTTTATTTTGGAAAGTTTTGAATTTAGTTAAAAATACTTAGTTTTATATTTTTATAAATTCTAGTTATTTAAATTTTCATTATTCTGTTCCAATTTAATTTTTATTATTATTCTGCCACAATTTAATTATAATTTTTTATTATTTTATTTCAATTTATTTTTTTCTTTTGTTTAATATAATTAACCTCTTATTTATTATTTTTAGAGTAAATGACATTTGATAATAATTACTTTTTTATAATTATGTCATAGTGAGATTTAACACAATTAAAATGTCAAATAAAAAATAAAAAATATTTTAAATATAATAATTAACCCAAATATCTTGATATACTTGTGATAGAAGCGTTAATTCATAATAAATTGAAAATTTTTATTTTACTCGTAGAGCTTCACTCCTCAGTCACTCATTCCATGTAAAATTTTATATCTTTATGAAATTAAAACTAATTCCATGTAAAATTTTATATTTTTATGAAATTAAAACTAATGGTAAGTTATATATTCGTATGTAATTTAAAAATAAAATTTTGATAAACATATTATATTTTAAAACAAAACATAATAATTAAATCTAATAATATTACATTATCAAATTTAAAATTAAAACATCAATGTCATAAAATGTCATAAAATGTCATTCATACCATAAAACAAAGAATTGAAATATTTATTTTAATTCAATAGTCTTACATCATTCATTTCATTTAAAAATCAAAGTCAACTATCATCCATATATTCTTTTATCTTTTAATCCGTCCAAACATCTTTTACATGGATTCAATAAAAAATGTTGATAACACGTGTAATCAATCATTAGAACACATTCAATCATAAGAAACTATAATAACCGGTACTAATGGTAATGGTATTTACAAACAAAAATTAGTGTAAAGCAGGTAATTATTCCAATTAAGGAGGGCAAAACCATTAGAATAGCGTATACATGAAAATTTTGAAGATCAATCACCACGCTAATATAATGTGTATAATGGTGAGGGTGGAACTTAGTCAATAAAGGTTGAGTTTCTCGGGTACGTATGCCAAAAAATTAACAGATATCTCATACACCAAATATGGAAACAGAGCAAGCTAAACTGCGGGCACACCCAGACTCAATTTAGCCAAATAAAACTCAAATTCTAGACTGGTTGGAAGACCATGCAAGTAATAAAAGATTGACAACATCACCAAATCAATAGACGAAAACCTATACCTACACACAGAATAATAACTAGAGTAATGTGTGAAATATTTTAATTGGGAAATGTCAGTTATCCACTGAAAGTTTGAGAGTCAATGAAACAACTGCAGCATTCAGAAATGTTGGCAAACTTAACCAACTTCCATGAATTTTGAAAGTTTCCTAATTGGAATAGAAGGATGGCTATCAGGGTGTCATATAACTTGTCGGACAGCATGTTGGGCTTCATCCCCCAATGTACCGAAAGCATAAATGTTATATGTTGCCCACACAACATTATGATATCGTGAATAGATTGAAGTATTCAGCCGGGTTATCTCCTGATTCTACCTCCAAAATCAATGTTCGGTCAAAATTGGTATCAGTTACCAAGTTGTGTTTCATTACAAACATTCAAATGGGACGAACACTGCAAAAAATCGCAGGACCAAAAAACGTTCTAAGTATTCCACTCAATCTTGAAGTGGCCTTGGCGCATGAAAAGAAAATAGAATTTTTCCGTTCGGTTTTCCTTTTTCCTTGGTTCATGCCTTTTAACAGAAAAAAAAATGTGCCGCTTTCCATGCACTGCATATCAAATAGAGCTCACATTAAGCTACGACCTATACTATCTTACAAGCCAAACAGTACGTAAGACTCCTTTATTCGGTGCTTAGATTAGGACAAAATCCTTGAAACCTCACACACACATTTTACTGGTTAGATCCAATAGTTTGTGAGTCTCTTCATCCAACTTAACATTGTCCTTTCTCATCCTCTCTGCGACAATGAGAGGCATTTTACCAGCTGTTGCATAAACTTTGAGATATAGATTATATATATTAGTATTCACATGACCAGCATTCCTAAGGATAACCAACAACTGCTCTGCTCCTTGAGTATGAGCTTGCTCCTCAATGATTTTGAATGCTTCCTGTACTAACCGTTTATTCGGATTCCATTTTTTCCCACAAGAAATAGCTTTACTAAAATAATCGAGAAAATTTTCCACATCTTTCCTTTTCAAATACCCCCATGTAAATAGCTCCCATGTAGTGTAACAAGGAATGACACCCTTTTGCACGATTTGATCACAAAATTTTTCAGCCAATTCCATCTGGTTTTGGTTAATGTAGGAAGAAAGAAGTAGGTTTGGAACTCTGACATCATTGGTCCCGGAAACATACTCCCATTCCATATAAAGATCCTCAGCTCCAGCAATATCTCCAAGCTTCACCAGTGAGGATATCATGCAAATATACTCATTATCATTCATTTTGCGAAAGGAGGCTTTCATTTTCTGCCATATTCGATTAACGTCATCTTTATTACCCATGTTTGTGTGCAAGCTAAGAAGAGAGGAATATGCAACTCGAGTTTTCCTCGAGATTCTATTCTCCATCTCTTTCACAGTAGCTCCGGCTTTGTCAAGGCTAGCCATTTTTATGTACAAATTGGTCAATATACTGTATGTTACCCAGTCCGGATCTATCTTTGACTTCTTTAACTCAAGAAATACTCTTTCTGCTGTTTCATCATCATTCTGCGAGGCACAAGCAGTTAACCATAAATTGAAAGTGACAACATCTGGGGAAGTTTTCATCTTTAATTCCTGAATAATTTTAGGAACCTTTTCTAGCTGTCCATTCGATATGTAGAGAGATAACATGTGATTATAAGGAAGAGGAAATCTCAAGAAGTCACATTCTGACATTTTCAACATGAGGGCCTCAGCTTTGTCAACCAAATTATTTTGGACATAGGTATGGAGAAGGGCGGAGCAGGTTTTCTGGCCTCTTATTCGATCAGGAAGATCCTCAAAGAACTTTTCTGCACTAGTTAAACCCCGAACTTTAGTTATCAAGTCCAAATGTAGAGCATAGTCACCATGCACCAGCTTGATATCTTTCTGCAAGGTCATCCATTCACATACCTGCATTCGCAGACACACACAAAAAGGATCAACCCTTTTACATTCTAAGACAGTAAAAAGCACTCCAGTGAGTCCCACAAGCCTAAACCGCTTGGTTGGGGCATTTGTAATTGCAAGTAAGCGGGATCCAACAAATATTGTTGGAACATCTTTTTCACTCACTCTTCCACTAGCAGGGTCTATTAACAAAATAAAAACCCAATTGCTGCACTGAATAATGTAACAAATCCATGCATTCAGTTAAAAAACTTTTATAACAATCAACCAAGCGTGTGTTTAAGCGGGTGTATACAAAATTAATTTTGACTGAAATGATTTTGGAAATTTGAGTTAGGTTAAAATTTATTCTGAAAATAAGTTAACAATAAAACTCAAAGTAAAAACTATTCGAAGTTGTTTTAATTCAACATCAATTTCAACAAGACAAGAAAACATTCAACTAAGACCAAAACACGCACTAAAATCGTCAATCCAAACACGCAATAACATGTAACTTAAAATTATTATTATTACAAAATTCAACATTCTTACAGTAACCAAGCAGCTTTTCCAGTACAATAACCAAAGGAAAGCCACTAGTGTATTCTCTCACGATTCAGGATTCAATAATTAGTAAGTTACAGCTAACATTGATCAGAGAGTCCAAGGGAAGATGAACCAACCTCGAGTGCGTGTTTGTAGCGCTTTTCCTTGCGAAGCTCTCGAACAATGCGATTGAGGTGATATTTGCCGGGTAGCGCGTGACCCTCTTCCTTCCATTTATTGATGGCAACAACGGCACTACGCTTCGGGTACACAAGGCTCAGAAGCCTCCGCCCCAGCGTATCTGCAACGGCGCCGGAACTAGCGGCCGCACGTACAGGCACCGCCGCTGTGGAAAAGTGGCGAATGACGGCGAGATAACGCAGTAACATTTCCCTTTCACTCCACTGCATCATAATCTATGGGTTGATTTAAGCTCTTAAAACCCTAATTGGAACTGAGTTCCCAATTTCCTTAACTATTTTTATTTTCTTTTGCCATTTCTTTTTTTCTCCCTTTCCTTTTTATTTTTTATTTTTCATATTTACGTGACAAAAAAAATGGATTATAAATAATATTTTCATATAAATATGATAAGTTTAGTAATTTATTTAATAAAAATTTATAAAATATTTATAACATTAAAAATATATTTTAATATATATATATATATATATATATATATATATATATATATATATATATATATCTGTGTGTGTGTGTAAAATAAATTAATATTTATAGTTGATCCTAATTATAACAAATTAATTTGTTCCGTCTCAATTTTATTAAGTGGAAAATCAAATAGATAAAAATAAGATAAACTAGTCTATTTTAGTACTCTTACACATGGATTAAAAATGTGCTTGAAATCTCTTGTCTTGTTGCGGTTGAGCTCCATTAAATATATAAATTACGGTGTATTGTATTTTAAAAAACATATTAATTTTAATAAATTATATTATGTAAAAATACTAATTTTGGAATTATTATAATAAAAGTAAAAAAATAATTGTATGATGACAAAATATTTTAATTTGTAGAAAATAAATAAATCAAAGTGATACTTTACGGCGACTTGTGCAATTTTGATGTTTTAGTCCCAAGAATTCTATAACCATCACAAAATCAGAAGTAGCAATGTAAAAACTAAATAAATAAAATAAAAAATTAATTCATAAATGAATATATATATATATATATATATATATATATATATATATATATATATATATTCCTTTGTCGTATATCGTTGAATTTTAGTCCCAATAAGTTCCTTTTTTATTACTTTATTTTCTTCTACTTTTTTTTTTCTTCCTTCCTTATGTTTCAAATAAAAATTTTCACAGTCCAAATAACCAATATTTTTTTTAATATAAATGTTTTCTAATTAACTTACCAAAATAATATGGAATTAAACTACATAAGCTAAAATATTTGTTTATCGTATTCTAAACTTATGATAAAATTAGTTTTAGAAAATATAAAATTGTAAAAAACAATACAATTTTTAAAATTTTATATCAAAGCCTATGATGATTTTAAAAAATAAACAAAAATAAATATTTTATATTCACATGATGATTTTAAATTAAGTCATATGCTTCTTGGTTTTATTATAATTTTATCATATTATTCTTTATTATTATTATTATTATTATTATTATTATTATTATATATTTTTATTTTTAATTATTTTTCACCTCAAGTGCATTAATATTTGGTGACTATACAAGTTATATTTTTTAATTAATAGGTACCTTAAGACATGTTTAGTTGAGATTAACATTGGGTATGGTAAACATAATATTATTATTGAAGTGGATGAATTATTTTGGGTTTGAGAGGTTAAATATGTTTTGTTGACATAACTCATGTTGACTTGGAATATGGAATGGTGGGTCTTCATGATTGTGTTTCTTCACATTTTGAGTGAGAAACAAGGAAAAAACATGTTACCGTGTTATGTTTACATTATCCTGCATAAATTTACACATTAACCGCCTTTTCATTAAGACAACTAGCTATGAATGTTACAGGTTCTGGGTAGTTGGTTTGGTGGTAAGGGAACGGTGGAGGTGGGATAATTGGTGGGTTCCCCATTTCCTGTCTTATTTTTAAGCCTAATTTTCTTGTAAGAAGAATTGAATTGGGTGAATGGTTGTGAAAAATTAATGATTTTTTTTTATTTCTATTTTTGTTCTATTGGGTTTGTTGGGAAATTAGAGAGGGTGTCAGTGGAAAACTTGGAGAGTTAGATTTTGGTGATACAAAGGGATTTTAGGGTGTTTGTTTATCTTTTCAAAAAAAATTGACAATTTGAGTGAAGTACCTAGTTTATTTTTTTTTAATAATAATAATAATAATAATAATATATTTGTAAATGGATACCAATATCTATTATGTGTTTGACCTATCTACACCAAGAAAGCTTATGTACAACATAAATTATTTATAGGGATCATAATTACTTACTATTGTTTACATCAAAAGATCTTGTTGAGTGTTGAGAGAAATTCAATAGGGAAAAATAATATCAATGAAATATGAACTCAATTTGTAAATCATATTTGGAAAAACTTTAGGCATACTATCGCGGAGTTTGATGGAAAGATCATCCTTGGTTGGTATCATTGTGCAGAAAAATATTTTTTACATCCATTTGATGTAATGAACAAAATTATGATGCAACAAGAGCAAAGATAGTGTATGAAGTGATAATCTTGGTGACTAGAATAAATGTTTCATCATATAGTTGATATCATATTCTTGTTTATTTCCAAAAACATCTAGTCAAGTCTTTTAACAATAAATAGAGTCATCTGATTGTAGCTTGATAAAGAATAAAAACTTGCTCCCTAAAGGTTTAATAGATGAGAGACAAGGAGTTATATCTCATGTATGGTTCTTTTCTATGGCAAGAAGTTCAATTTTTATAACTCTTTTTCCAACATTTGTTCTTCACGACCTTTATAAGAAGAAGGAATAGAAATAAATGATAATGTTAAAATCAAGAAACTAATATACCTATCTACGGGCTTACAAATTCGTGAGCTACATTGTAAATGAACTATTTCTTGTTTGAGATCAACATTCAAGAAATTACTTGAAAGGGCTCATGAGATTTTGTTGGATGACTATTGGATGTTACATAATGCCTTTTGTAGGTTAAGGAATTTTCTTTTAGAATTATCATAACATTAATAGCTCGTTATGATCTTAAGTTGTATCAAATGAATGCTAAAACAACCTTTCTGAATGAGAATATAGAAGAAGATGTTTATATGAACCAATTAGTGTGGTTCATTAAAAAAAGGATAGGAACACATGATATGTAAACTTAAGAAATCAATATATGGACTTAAATAGACTTATCGACAAGTGGTATCTTATGTTCAATGATACTATTGTGTCTTTTAGATTTAAGTTCAATCGATGTATATATTTAAAGTTAGTGGGAGCAAATTTATATTTTTTATTTTATATATTGATGATATTTTGCTTGCAACTAATGATCTTGGTTTATTAAGTGAGACTAAGAAATTTTGTTTTATCAACTTTGAAATGAAATATATGGGTGAGACATATTATGTGATAGGAATAGAAATATTCCGTGATAGATCAGAAATACTGTTAGGTTTATCTTATAAAGCATATATTAATAAAGTTTTTGAGAGATTCAGAATATATAAATGTTCAGCATCTCCTGTTCTAATACAAAAATGAGATAAATTTAGTCTTATGCAATATCCAAAAGAATGCTTTGGAATGAAAACATTGTTATTAAGAGTTTTATGTATGCTCAAACATGTATGAGGTCAAATATTTGTTTTGTAGTTGATATGTTTGGTAGATACCAAAGTAATCCAAAATTAGGTTATTGGAAAACTGCAAAGAAAATCTTAAGATACTTACAAGTGACAAATAATTACATGCTTATTTATATCACCTTGAGGTGATTGGATATAAAAATTCAAATTTTGTTGGTTGTATGGATACAAGAAAGTCTACATTTTATTATGTATATCTTTTAGTAAGAGGAACATTCTCATGAAAAAGTATGAAGCAATCAATAATTGTCGTATCCATCATGTACGTTGAATTTGTGGCATGCTTTAAGGCCATAATTCAAGCTAATTGGTTGCAAAATATTATTTCAAGACTTAGAGTAGTTGACAATATTGTCAAGCCGCTGAAAATTTATTGTGATAATTTTGCAGTTGTCTTATTTTCTAAAAATAAGTATTCCAAATATGCTAAACATATGAAATTGAAATACTTTGTCATTAAAGAAGAAGTTAAAAAACATAGTGTCAATAAAACATATTAGTATTGGTCTTATGATTGTTAGCCCTTTAACAAAAGGGTTACCACCCAAAGTGTTTACTCACCATGAACATTATGTTTACTAGTGGATGTTGAATGTTAATTTTGTTATTAATGTTTATTTGACACTTTAAGTTGATTAACATATAAATTTATGAAATTTATGTTTTATATTTTATGTATATGCATGTTATTATGAAGAAAATAATTGTTATTGTTAATGGAGATGACATTATATTTAAATCTATTATGAACTTCTCATTATATATTCATGTTAAGGAAAAGGAAATATATTGATTAAATAACATATAACTGTTATGACTCTTGTTATTTATGTATCCTTAATTATAATTAATGATGAAACCAATTTATATAAGTTCTTTTAATACATATTATGATTTATGTAATTATTAAATGAAAGAGTGTTATGGCATCATATAAGTAAAGAATGTTAGAATTAATAAATAAATAAATTTAATTATGTGACTAATGTAAAATATAATGATGAATCAAAATGTGATTTAATAAAATAAAAGAATATATTGATTATTATAGAAAGTTATTTTAAAAAATGACAATAATCATCTTGATGAAAGTTGACTAATAAGGTTTTATTTCTGATAATTAAAGTTACTTAACGTATATTTGGATTAGACTATCGAAAGTCGAGTAGGATAGATTTGCAAATAAAGTTAATTTTTCGAGGTAAAAAAATTTGTCCATTCCCAACAAAAAATTCTTCATCAAGTTGATGATAAGAAATATACAAAAAGTCTATGTTATATTATATATAATATATAAATAATTATTATTATTTTAATAATAATAAATTATAATAATAATAATCATATTAATAATTAAATTAAAATAAATAAAATAATTATAACATTTTAAATTATATTAATAATAATAAATTTTATTTAATTAAAATTTAGTTATTTTTTATTAAAATATTTTTTTATCATTTATATCAATCAAATCACTCACAAACTTGTATAAATTTTTTTCTCATTTCTCTACATTTCTTAGCATATTTCTCTTAATCTAACATCCTTTTTCCACATAAAATCTTGAAAGCAATGAGGGGGAG